TTTTTTTTTTTTTTGTCTTTCTCATTGACTGGCTACTGTAAACAAAAAAGTTGGCACTGTTACATAGTAAAAAGTCTTCTAAAAAAATAAACCAAGAAGGGCGTTTATAACGTTGATACTGTTCAAAAATGCTATTTTAGCATACAGTTTCAATGGTATCTTAATCACACTTAGTTGTTATGCCCTAAATTAACTTGTAAAATAAATCTTTTTTTCTAACATTGAATATTTGACTTAAAAACTGAGAACTATTTATTATAATTTGAAAGAAATTAGCAACAAAAGTATCTGTATCAGCTAAACAATTTTAGGTAAAAGAAGATGAAGAAATTCCAAATACTAAAGTTAAACCAACAAATCCACCAGTTTTGTCATGGTTTGTATATTTTTTGGCAGCTATGGCAGTTATTGGTGGTTTTTTGTTTGGTTATGATACCGGAATTGTATCAACAGCAATGCTCTATATACCAGATAATGGCGGCATGAAACCGATGAATTCAATTTGGAAAGAACTTGTTGTCAGTATTTGTCCAGGTATCAACCAAATAATGTTTCTTATTGCTGCAACAATATTTTTATTTACAAAAAGATTATCAAAAAAAATAAATTTTTATACTTAATAATAAACAGTTTTTTACTTCTTTTAATAAATTTATCCTCACTAATCACTGTTATAGGAATGGCAGCAGTTGGAGCTGTACTTGCCGGTCCAGCATCAGATCGTTTTGGTAGAAAAAAAGTAATTGTTGTATCAAGTTTAGCATTTGTTGTTGGTGCAGTTATTTGTGCTGCAGCACCTGAAAAAATTACTTTATTGGTTGGCCGTATAATTCTTGGTGTTGCTGTCGGTAAGAGTTTTAAGACTGTTCAGTGATATTAAATATTTTACATATGAATTTTAAACAGTAAATAAAGGTGCATAAAACAATATATATCTGTCTAACAAGTTTAATCAAAAAAAAAAAAATTCTAAGGTTTTGCATCGATGACTGTACCAGTTTATGTTGGTGAAGCTTCACCAGCTAACGTTCGTGGTCGATTAGTTACCAGCTTTCAACTGATGGTTACATTTGGTCTTGTTGCAGCCAATGTTATTGCTGGTCAGTTTAAAGTTTCTTTTACCAGTTACTTTTAGATTAATATTGTACAACCACCAAAAGTACTGTGTAAAAATCTTACAACCACAAAAAAATACTTTGAATGTACCAAATTTTAGGTGGCTTTTCCTATGTGAACCCGATAAAGGTTGGATGGCGTTTGATGTTTGCATTCGCTGCAGTACCGGCTGTAATTCAGTTTGTTGGATTCTTATTCTTACCCGAATCTCCACGATGGCTTTTTGAACATGGCGATACAGATGACAGTAAAACAGTGCGTAATTAGAAAATTTTATAAGAAGAAAAAAAATTTGCACAGTAATATCAATAATGCTGAACAATACTTTGTTAAGGTGTTAAACAGAGTATATAATCATGATAAGGATTGGATTGATTATGAACTTTATGATATTTCTTCAGCATATGAAGCAGAAAAAAAATCAAAAGAATCTCTTGGAGGTTTGTTGCTTACAGATAATCATCGAAACATTACAACTATCATTTATTAATTTTTGATAAGCTGTTTATAAGTCGAAAGAAAAAGAAAATAAAGTGACTATTGAATGAATTAATAAAGCTTTATTTTAAAAGTTATAGAAAAGTGTTGTTCAAAATTTAAGATACTAAATTTACAATTAAATAATATAATAATTCATTACTTATTCACCAACAAAAAAATTTTTTTTTTGTACTACCGTAGCATAAAAGAAGAAACCACTAACATAAACAAACTTATTTTTTTTAGGTCAGCTGCCAATAACTCGAATTTTTACAACGCCACATGTCCGAAAAGCACTTATTATAGGCTGTCTGTTACAGGCTTTTCAGCAGTTTGGTGGAGTGAATACGCTGATGTAAATAGACATTAATTTAATAACTTAGTTTTATATATATATATATATATATATATATATAT